CGCTTAGCTCTCTCTCCCCCCTTCCCCCTGCCCTCGTCACCTTCTTTCCTTCCCTCCTACTCCATCACCCAGCTCTCTTTCTGCCTCTTTACTCTCAAATCTGCTGCTCAGATTACTTCCAGCTGGAGCATAGAGTAAATAGCGCACTCAAGAGATTCTTGAAAGGCAATTTACAAAAAGAAAACAAAAGAAATCGTTTTTTACCAATCAGGTTTTGCTGAACTTGATAGAAATGATTGCGATGCTTTGCCAGAAGGGGTGTTAGGGACAGAATTTGTGTGCCTTTTATTTACAAATATGGTTTCTCTGTGACAACCTGTGAATAATATCCTGAGATGGTTTGGTTCCACATAACCTTTTGAGCAACAGGGACCGACTCGTGGTGGAAAGACATTTTTTAAGAGAGAACCCTCACAGAATTAATGTATATAGATCTCATAGACAAAAGTCATTAAACTGGATGTATAAACCTTGTAGGCTCTGTAGGTTCAGTCCTAATCTAAATGAATACAATAGGGATGCATCTATGTGCACATATAGGCTACTCACATTTATTAGTTTTCAATCAAATGTTCCTCACTAAAACTTCTTCTTTCACACTCTCCCTCAAAAACACATTCCAACCACAGGCAATGCGTGACTGATTGTCTGAGTGTGTGAGGTGTGTGTTTGTGTCTGTGTGTGTGGTCTGTTCAGCAGACGTGTAGAGCAACTTTCCTCGCGTAAAGCGAGCACATACATACATACATCTGTCTGTCTGCGCTGTGGAACATGAATCATTTGACCGTTTCTCATTAAATATAACAGGGATGTGAACAGTGCTGAAATACCCTGCTGCATCACTGTTGAGCACAAGCACAATTACAATTAAACATATGCAGTTTGTTATATAAAAAAAGAAAAACCTATTAAAACTATAGTACATCTTCAGCTACTTTCTGTGAGACCTATATGTGGTGTTATACGTTATATTGCGTACAATATGACCATTACCTTTAAAAATAGTTTATTGTGATATTCACGTTATTATTTCTGACACTAACCAGTCAGCAAATGCAAAACAAAACTACTGTTGTTTATGATGTGAGAAGTATAGATGGTTAATGTCTAATAATGTTGAAAATGCATAGTTTGTTTTACTCAAACTATGTGTGTGCAGAATTCTTATATATGCAGATGACGGTTGACCAGTTTCTTTTATCCTCTTTTTGCTCCTTTATGTTCAACCACCGTTTACCGTCCTTCCCCCTCTGTTAGCCATGCTGACCTTGAACCCTACAGCAACAATCTCAATGACCGAGACCCTCACTCACACATGAACTCCCTGAACCCTTCCAGGCCATTCATATCCGCTTTCCTCCTCACACAGACTCCCCTTCCTCCCAAACAACAGCCCACTTTGATGACAGAGGTTCACCCCCACGGCATTGACGCTGTTGTCTGTGGGTCTGTCTGCGCCCCCCCCCCCCCCCCCCCCCCCCCCCCCCCAACACACACACACACAAACTTGTTAGTAAAATATGTAGAGAAAAGATGGGTTGAAAAGAGTGATCACACACACACACACACACACACACACACACACACACGTCACACACATACTGTATACACTGCTACCCTAGAGGTAATAAGTATGGATTCACAGGCCAGAACACTTGGGGATGGAGGGGGCGGGGTTACTTAGCAACGAGCTTGTTGACGTCCAAACAATGTTCATGTCGTCAAAGTGGCTGGTTGTGCCAGACTGAGGTTCTGCTGAGTTGAACAATGTCACCGGTGTGTTCCTAAACGCAGACAGAGGAACAGAGCCAACAGACAGGCTGCCGGACTGAATGACACAGAAACCAACGCAAAAATGCTTGCAGTGCTAATTCATAGAAATGCTGTTCCCACCCCTGTATTTGTCATTTTACGGCCCATGCAGAGGGCATGCAGTGCTCACAGCTAAAGAAGTATCAGTCTTTGAAAAACTGAGACAGCTGTGCTCATAGGAGACAGGGCAGAGACATATACATTTGGCTAATTCTGCAACTGGTTTAATTTTTGTATATTTTACGAAGCGGAAGACGATATTTCTCCACTTTTTAGCCTAAACTATAATTTGCATTTATTTGAAAAAATATCAACAAATGATGTAAAGTATCACTGTTCATTTGAGGACTTTTTACAGGATTCATTAATCCTCTACATTATAAAATGCTTGTTTGGATCTGTATTGAGCTACAGGCAAACCTAGGTTTTGAGGCTTGGCAAAGTCATCCAGCTCATTTGTTCATTTGAATAACAGGCTCGTAGATTCTGAGAGGAAGTTAAGACTGATTCACGCTTTGGGCATACATCATGAAATGATATTCAATGCTATTCATAGTGAGCAGTCCGTGGCATTGATACAGCATATGACTTGTAAGTTACTTCAGGCTACCCCGAGATAGCAGAAATGCTTTGTCGTGTAATTAATACCCAGTGCTTTGTAGTGTAACCAGCACTGATTACTTTGAATGCCTCTGCATTTTAGGAATCAAGTTTCAGCATCGTTGGGAAACATCTCCCAGCCAATGGCTATACAGTATATAATGCAGAAGAAGTAGATAAGAAGCCAGAGTCACTGACGAGGATGAGAAGTGAAAGGTAACTTCAGGACACAGCTTATTCCCACTCCGATGGCAAATGTCTACGTTTAGTACCCGTAGTGTGTGAGTGTGTGTGTGTGTGTGTGTGTGTGTGTGTGTGTGTCTGCTGTTTAACAACTTTCGTCTGTGACCTTCAGAGGAACAGGACACGTTGAGTGTGGGCACCAGATGTGCTGAACCAACTGCTTCACACAATGAGTCCAGTCCACATCGCTGCATCATGCAGATGTTTATCTTAGGTTGGCTTGGCTGATGGTTGCCTCTGACTACACCTCAAGAGCTTTCACTTCTGACTCATTTCATCTTGTGTGAAGCTGCTTTGCACCAGTGTGACACTGCATAATTAATCACACGATGTTAATGGAAGAAATAATGGTCTGTGTGGTAGGAAGGCAGCAGGATCACCAGCAGTTTAAGTCCGATGTAGGGCAGCAGAAACCAAACTATATGACGGACTTTTGATCAGCGGTTGCTCCTGTGCAGTACGTTAGATGAGGCAAAATCCCAGAGAAAAGTCCAAGCTACAGTATTATTCTGCTTGGAAGCCCAAATTAATCAGTGTATTTACAAAGATACTTGTAAACACTACACGTAACAAGTATATCATTTGAGGGTTTTGGATTAACAAAATACAGCTTTTTGAGTTTTTCAACAGACAAAGTGAAAATACAGGCGGTTTTAGTCCTGTTATTATCATCATCTTCATCATCCTCGTCACATAAACAACCTGTGTCATCCATTGCAGGCAAGTTGACCATGACAACACAAACAAGAAGTGGGTCATATCTCCACACAGGCATTCTCCACACATGACCAAAATTGCTCAATATGTCTCGACCTCAATCTGCTGCATGTGTTTTTTGTAGCTGGCTTGATTTTCATTTTAAGATAGATAGATAGATAGATAGATAGATAGATAGATAGATAGATAGA